ATAATGTGGGTGTTTGTGGGCTCTTTGGCCCATTATTTTGGCTGGTAGAGGCTCTATCACCTTGTATCAGTGTCTCCCCAGGTTGCTTTAAACACCAATTCTTAATTGGCTGAGCAGGAAGAGAACCTGATTTACCTATGACAGGGATTTTATGAACAAGATTCAGAAGCACATGCAATTTCTGATAAATGCTCATCAGTAGAACTCTGAGATACTCAAACCTTCCTAGAAGTGAAGGTGAAAAATATGGATTAGCCATGGTCTAGGAACAAATAGAAAGTGGGTTTGTTGAATGTACAACACTTTACATCCAAGTCCAAGTGTCTGAGAACAAATATTAAATTAATTTTATTTCTCATTCCCCTCCCTGAGTCCACTTCCAGGGTTTTGACCTCCAGATGCCATGTAGTTTACCCCATAATGTCTGGATGTGACTATGGTCTGGAAATTTAATAACTAAAAGTACAAGCTAACTTCCTTGTACTTCGGTAGACAGTATTCAGTAATGAATTAGGGAAGCTTTATTACCACAACTCACACTGCCACGGTACCTCCTCTCTTCATTCAAAAGAAGCATGAGAAGCATCTACTCCATGGATATAGGATAAAGCAATGGGGACAACCTATGAGGCAAGCTTTATGGAGTACAAGATGTTCTCGTGAAAGTGAGTAGGAAGTTCCATCCTTTTAAGTAGTCTCCAGGTTCAGCTACCTCATGGGATTGGGAGAAGAGTGAGATGAAGAGCTAGAGAGGTGGTCAGCATTAATACCATGGCCCCCTGCATGTGCTAGCTCAGGGTTAGCGCTTTACCCTGAAAACACCACAGGATCCAGGCTAGGCTTGCTCCAAGCTGTGATTAGATCCCTGTGAGGCTGCCCAGAGCCAGAAGAGACCCTGATGAGAACAGATAGTGTGGTCTTAAACTGAATGGTGCTCCATGGGGGCAGGAATTTTCTTGGCATGGACCTCAGAGTGCATAGGTTTTCATTCTAGCTGTTTCAGAAACGATAGTTTCACTTTTCACACGGAGGTGAAGCAAATAGAAACTCCTCATTCTTACTACATATTTCTTCCATTTACTCATCAGCACAACCTCTCTGAAGTAAGCAATGTTATGATATTTATTTTACTGCCACAGAAATCAAATCCAGAGAATCTGAGTAGTTGTTTAAATGACATTTACTAAAGATGATCCAGGAAAATAAGTCTGGAGCCATAGCCCATATTACTTCCGATGGCAAGACTTGCGATTTTGATTTCTAAAACTAGAGGGCTTTTTCATTCTCTAAGCCACTCAGTACATTTTATTAATATTATCTTACTTTGATGTGTCAATACATTGTGGATAATACAGCTGTAAGCCATACACAATACTACATTGGAATAGCCATGACGAATTATCAGTACCTCTTGTTTTAGTCAGGGTTCTACTGCTGTGAACAGACATCATGATCAAGGAAACTATTATAAGAGAAAATATTTATTGGGAACTTGCTTATGTTTTCAGAGCTGTAGTCCATTATCTTCATGGTGAGAAGCATGGTGACATGCGTAGAGAGAGAGAGAAAGAGAGACAGAGAGACAGAGAGACAGAGACAGGAGAGAGACAGAGACAGAGACAGAGACAGAGACAGAGGAGACTGAACCTGGCACTGGCTTTTGAAACCTTAAAACCCACCCTCAGTGACACACTTCCTCCAACAAGGCCTCACTGTCTAATTTTTATTATCTTTTTAAGTAATGCCACTCCCTGGTGACTATGCATTCAAATGTATGACCCTATGGGGGTCATTCTTATTCAAGCCACCACAACTACAGTTTTTTAATTGACTTATTTTTTATTACTAATGTTTGTTTCTTGAAAAATGTATACATGCATTAATGTATTCTGAGTCTATCTCCCCACACTCTCTTATCTCCTTCCCATCTCTATCAGCCACCTCTCACCCTTGCCAGGCTCTTTCCTGGGGTTCATGAGCAATTTGGGGAGTGTTTGTTTCATCTTACAGGTTATAGCCCATCATTTTGAGCATTCAGGACCGGAATTCAAAGCAGGAGTGTGAAGCACAGACCAATGGAGGAAAGCTGTTTGTTGGCTGTGCATGGAAGAAACTCCCAGTTTAATTCCAGCTTGATTTCTGTCTACTGAGTTTCAACAGAAACTCAAGTGTGTATCTTCAGAAATAGATTATATCATCTAGTTCTGGTGCGCAACCAAGAGGAATGACAAGAACTTGTATTGTTTCGAGGGGACTTTTGGGGACCCAGGAACTAACAACTCATAATGTAATACTGTGCCTTTGACAGTAGGGTCTTTGTGTAGTAACCCGAGGCTTCTAGGATGAGTTTTTTCCTGCCACAGTGGGATCTCTTGTCAAACATTTGAAAAAAAAATACACCTTTAAAATTTTGGTTTCAACATATTTACTTTTCATATTCTTAAACATCCCCTTCATTTTAGTTAACCCTCCTCAGTTGCCTCGTCATCTCTCTCCTTTCCTATTTCCTAGCCACTAAGCCTCTCTACTGCCTGTATTCCCTGCAGATACTTTCCTATTTCATGTAGTTTTATTTCAATCTCTGCAAAACTGATGTGCAGTAGAACAGGAAAGCTGTTCTACTGTAGAACATAAAAGCCCCAAAGACCAGGGTTCTTATCCTGATTCTGCAATGAACAGCCTCTGTGATTGATCTGAAGGCTTAGATACTGCCTAAATTTAGATGTAATCCTCATTGAGGTGGTTTGAATAAGAATGGCCCCCATAGGCTCATAGAGTTGAATGCTTGGTCAGTAGGGAGTGATACTATTTGAAAGGATTAGGAGGTGTGGCCTTTTGAAGGAAGAGTGCCACTGGAGGTGGGCATAGAGGTTTTCAAAAGTGCAAACTTAGCCCAAAGTCCCTCTGTTCCATCTCTGTGTGGATCCAGCTGTAGAACTCTCAGCTGCTTTGTCCGGCAACATGGCTGCCTGAATGCCACCATGCTCTCCACTGCAATAATGGACTAAACCTCTGAAACTGTTTGTAAGCCCAAATTAAATACTTTTATAAGAGTTGCCATTGCTGTGGATCTCTTCATGGCAACAGAACATTGAGACAGGTGGTCCTAATGGGGCCTTCAAGAGGTAATTATAGCATGATGGAGGAGTCCTGGGAATGACATTAATGTCCTTATAAAGCATGCTTGAGAGACCTTCCTGCTGTTTCTATTATGTGCATGAATATAGAGAAGAAAAGACACCTTCTTTGACATGTGGAGACAGCATTGCTAGATATCAATGTGCTGGAATCTTGATCATGGACCTCTGGCATCTAGAACTGTGAGTAATAAGTTTCAATTGTTTGTATCTTACCTAAGACTAACTCAACTAAGACAGTGATTTTTCTGACTCAGCATCAACAGCTGCAATTCTTCCATCACTGACATTGAAGAAATGGACCAGAGAGCCTCCAGTGTCTCTGTCCATGCTTGTTTCTATGCTTTCCTTAGCATTACATAAAAATTAAGTCAAAAAGTGACAGAAACTAAAATGACAAAAGCTTTTAGATTAACTATGAAGCTAGCATATCAAATCAATGTTGTAAGTATAGAAAAATGGCATTTAAATTAAAAAAAAACTTATTTATTTGCCCCAATAAAGAATAATTACTTTAAAAAAAAAGAAATGCAAAAAAACATTAATATTTCCAAAGATGAAAATAGGTAATTTTTGTGGAAACAGCAGGAACTATATTTAAAATACTTTTTTAACAATGTTATAAATATATCAACATCTACGTTATCTATTTGTATATGAAACGACCAAACTGTGAGTTTTGTAAGAAGCATATTTATTACAAAAATAAGATTTCAATAAATTAGTCAAGCACTGTAACTGTGAAATAAGTACATGAGTAAAAGAGTTAGCATCTTTAAAAGAATTCAACTCATGATGTATTTTCTGTGTCTACTGCTTTGAAAGGAACAAAAGATTTGTGAGAGCATGGATAGACAAAAGAGAAGTAGGGGATTCTAGAAAGCATCAGTTTCCCCCTCATGGTTAATTTTCTATAACCATTAATTTATGCAGGTGTACTTGTAGGTAAGCTAAATGTGTTTAATCAATTGCTGAAATTACTTTGAAACCTACTCTAAAATCTCCCTTCTCTGAGTGTTGTGGAAAGCTAGTGAGATCACTTATCAAACGCTTTCACTGTTGTTTTCTTTGATTCCAAAGGGGAGTTTTGCCAGACTATAGCATTTGATCATTTTTTAACATAATGAATAAACATAGATTAATAGCCATGGTCTCAAATTAAATTTTTCTTTTTCCTTTAAACTAAGGAACTAGGTGTCAATAGCTTGGAAATTCTGAGCTTGGTCACTTCCCGCTGTCCTCATCTGCATAAAACAAGCCACAGATGTTTGATCCTGTCTCAAAACTCCACAGGCTTCAGAAGAGTTGAGTAGCCTGACCTTTTTGGGGCCAGCTTTCCTCAGCAGACTAAAGCAGCATTTCCCTGCACGTGTTGCGTCTCATCTTCTCTTCCTTAGGGAAGCCACTGAGTTTCACATTTAATTCCATGCAGAGTTGGGGCCTTAAGTTTGCGATCACCGTGGAGTCTCTAAAAGGCTAGCAGAAGACTGTGTTAGATTTGGCTCTTTCACAGACTTCCACCTTCCTTTCTGGACTCAGGCACCCCTCTGTCTAAAAGGAAGGGATTGCTTTAGAAGATTCCTAAGACTGTTGAAGAGGAAAGACCCCACAAAGCTGTGAGGTCAGAGTGAATAAACTTGGGTAGCCAACAGCATGCATAGAGGGATGAGCGGTGGAGGAGTCCTGGCCCCAGGACTCCCAGTCCTCAGCAACTCCTCCCTATCTGTCAGTAGCAAAAGACAGTGGGCCTGGCCGTCCCCAAGCTGGTGGTGGTTTGCAGCCACAGCTTAGAGCAGACACGGACATTTTGGATATCCTGGTCCTTCAGGACAAGGGTGGGTGAACTGAAATGTCCACTGTTCTTCATTCTTTCATTTCACCGAAGGAGCAGTAGCTGGGTCCCAGGCCTCGCACGGTGCAGTCAGTGCTGTGGCTGTCACACTTGCTACAGTGACATTCAGTGGCTACTGGGTATGTGTAGAGCGAGTCTGAGTGGTGGGCACAGCCTGGCAGTCTTATGGTCTCATATACCAGCTCCTTGAAGGTACATACTTTCTGGGTATTGGGTCTGGCTGGGTCCTTATACACCAAGTCCTGAGGAATCCAGGAAAGGGAGGATTAAGACATACTGTTTTGAAAATTCTGTTCAGTTTAATCAAAGTGAGACAGTAATTTAACGCTGCATGCTTTCACATTTACCCATTAAAACCAAAGTAAACTCATGGACCACCTATGCAATGTGCTTCATTTCCCAGTTCTTCTGGAACACTTCCTAATTGTTCTGGAATACTTACAGAAAATGTAAGCAATTTCTTTCCTAATTCCCCAAGCCATATCAGAATATTAGTCACTTGTCAACCTAAAGGAACTTTGAATTTCAATACAGAATGATGATAAAAAGAAACATAATGCCTTAGAATTTTAGTTGCCCTTTCATACATAACAGAAAGATATATTAATGAGAACTTAAGCTACAAATTTTATAGCCTAACCTTCAGAGAAGGTATATATTTTTTGCATTTATAAAAAGCAAAATAATATGATATGAATTTTAATGGTTATCATGTAACTGAACCCTTGTAAGACACTAATCATTTCATCACTTGTCAGACAATATTTTCCTTTTAAAAGATGTTTACTTTGTAGAGCTATTAGCTTCAAAGGACATATGCTTTGCATATAAGAAATTTTTTCCAAAACAAAAATTGTCCATTCTCGCACTTTCTGGTGGAAAATTTATTTTCACTGAGGGAAGAGAATAAGGCTGTTGCTCATTTTATTTCAGTGACTTGCTACCTAACTGACAGCCCCAGAAAGGGACAAGAAATTGTACAGAATTAGAGTTTGATCAAATTCTTTTAACATTAAATAAAATGTATCTCATTAGAAAGTTCTATTTTTTTATGTTTGTCATACGAAATTCTGCACAAATAACAAGGTAAAATGGGCGAAAAGGGAGACTGGTGAGAACTGTCTCTTTACTTTTATTAACGTAAAGAAGCGGTGTGAATTCAGGCTAGAGACTTAATGCCCCTGTGTCTCCGTTCTGTCAAAGGCTTAAAATATAATAAGGGGTGGAAGGTGGGTGTGTGAATTAAAAAACAAAAACCCTGCCAGGATTGATTGTATTCTCAGGATATGTGTAGGCAGTTATGCACAAGCAGATCTGAAGACAATTTTTATAAGGTGTTATTTGTGTCATGGATACATTTTTTTGGTATTATCTCTATGTCAAAGTCAAGGCCTTAGTTATAAAAATTGCCTTTTAGAAAACATTATAGTTCTCTTATGATTAAATGTATATAGTCCCTATTTATCCCTTTCTATAAAACGTGGCATGGAAATACTCCAATTTTAAGTTTCCTCAGTTCACCTAAATCAAATTCCAGCCTCAAACTGACGTCCTAATTATTGATCTCACACACATCACAGTATTCCTTAGCGATCTTGTGGCTATGGCTTAGGAAATTAACATATGGACAAAGTGTCAAGCCACCAAACGTGCCTCATCCAGCAGAGCGGGGGACCTACCCTGGTGTAGCAGTAGCCCGAACACCAAGTGGTGTTGATGCTTATGCAGAAACGACACTCTTCCTTCTCTACCGCGATGGTGATGTTGGTCAGCTCACAGCTGTGGCAGCAGATTGCTCTCCAACACCAGAGAAGGATGCAAAGCTGGACAGACTTCATCTTGGGCTGGGAAGCAAACAGCTATGTCCTGGAAGAGATGGGGAAATCAAATTACCGAAATCACTGCGACCAGCTGAGAAGCACTTAGCCCACTTGTTCTTCTCAAACTTTCTGCTTGAGCAAGAGTTTTTACTTTAATGCTCCATTGACCAGTATTCCGTTTACTTTTGGGGGGATGGGGTGGGATGGGGTTATGGTAGGGTAAAAGTAGACACAGGTAGATAAAAAGTCAAAGCAGTATTTATAGACGAAACTAATACTACCTTAAAGTGATTACTCTAATCAGGTGGATGGGATCCTTGTATTTGCCACTTCGTTAACAGTTTTTAAAGGCTAGTTTGTTTAAACAGAAGAAAATTTTATACAACAAAATTATATCTTTGTTTTTGTTACCATTTAAGCATCTGTTTTTGTTTGCCCACATCTGTTGACCCTGAGACAGAAGAGAGGCAAACTGGCCTACAAGTCACATTCTTGATGGCAGTACATTGACTGTATTCAAGAAGCCAAGTTAATATGTTTCTATATAGCAATGACAGAGAATTCTCATTCCTTCTTTAAATTCTAAAGGTCTGCAACTCTCAAAGTAGCTGTCCTAGTTGCACCAATTGCTGAGACTCACCTGTGTAGTCAGCTGCCTTCTGGGGAAAGCCGAACACTGAGTCAAGTCACACATCAGCTTTTATACAAAATTAACACCGTGTGGATTTACTGGGTGTTAACAGGACCAATACCAACACAAAGCCTGATGTAAGTGAGTCAGTGTTTAGACGGACAGGGAGATCAAGCCTCATCCAAGCAGTCTAAATGCCATAGACCAGAAAATGCTATCAGTGATGATGGTTTCTGTACAAATTGAATTTGATATGGTAGCACACCCACTCCTTTACCTTGCTAAATTCAGTGTGACTGGAGTCTAGACTGTTCTTTCTGACCCTTAACTTGGAGAACTCAGAATCTTTTCCAAACATTGCTTTGGCTCCATTTAGAGGGCGCACCAAAATCTGACTAATCAACTGTTCCAAGAACAGACTGAATACTGCAAGTGTATAAACAAATAGGAAGCATTTCTGCTCCTCCTTCCTGCATCTTACTCCTATGGGCAGTGTCTTCCCTCACAACCCTATTGAGCTCTCCCCACTTCAATCCCGCTTTCCTGATGATTTTTTTCCTATTCATTCCCTTTATTACTCTTTCTAAAAATTGATTAATTCAATGTACATCTCAGTCATAGGCCCCTCCTTCTTCTCCTTCCAGTCCCACCCTCCCTCCTACATCTCCTCTCCCCTATTCTGCAGAAGAGGGAAGCCCCCCCGACACCCCATCTCATTTATTCACATGAGGACTGAGTTGTCTTTCTTCCCTGTGGTCTTGTAAGGGAAGTCCTGTCAGGGGGAAGTGATCAAAAAGCAGTCAACACAGTCCATGTCAGAGATATCCCCCACTCCCCTAACTAGTGGGCTTACATGAAGCCTAAGATGTCCGTCAGACCTATCTTCTTGGGGTCTGTGAATTGTAGTATGTCTGTTCTGTACTATGTGACTCAAATCCACTTATTAATGAGCATATACCATATGTGTCTTTCTGGGTCTGTGTTACTTAACTCAGGATGATCTTTTCTAGTTCCATCCATTTGCCTGCAATTTTCTGATGCTTTAGGAAGAATATTCTACCTGTTCGTAATTCCCTAAATACAACACAACATTGCAGATCTCTTTCTGTCACCAATGTTCTTGCTTTCTTCCTATCTCTTAGCTCTCACCAAAATCCTCCAACCCTTACCACACAGAGGTTTTCACTTCTTAGAGTTTAAGGCCAAAAGGTAAGGAGAGTTATACTCTTTCCTTTCTGGTAGTAGTTATTCATAGGACTGTTTCCTCCAGTATTCTATGAGCTCCACAGAAAATGGGGGTGTCTGTTTAACTCATTGTCATGTTCATTTATTAATAGTGAAATTGGAAATAAAGATCAATGGTGAAAAAATGTTAGGGGAGGGCGTTATAAATGCAAGAGAAGTTAGAGTCAATGTAAGTATTTTGGTTTTCACTCTGAGTGATATGACCCACTGTAGAGTTTTAAATAGAGATTGGAAAATCTGGTCTAAATGAATCCTTCTCACTGCTGTGTTGATAGTACAGAAAAAGACAGGCAGAAGTAGGAGGACACTATTACGATAGTTTGCAACTGTCCTAAGGTGAGACATGGTGTTTGTTTGGGCCAATGTGGGAGCAGTGGATATTATGAGTCATGCTATGACTTTGGACGTATTTTCTAACAAAACAAAAAACAACATTTTAACTCGATAGATACTGAGTATGGGAGAAAGAGGTGAGGATAACTCTAAAGATGGGATGGCTAAAGATGTAAATTTTGGAAAAAAAAAAAACACCTAAGGTGTTCTCTATAGGCATATTGACCCTGAGGTGTCACTAATAAACCTAAATAGACTGGTGAATCTGGATATTAGGGAAATGTCTTGACTGAAGTTTTGGAATTTGGAATTTGGAATTTGGAATTTGGGAGTTAACGGCATGGGGCTGATGAGATCCCCAGGGGAGTGGATTTAATGGGAATAGAAGAGTTGAAGCTCGTTAAACTCTAATACTACAAAGTCAAAGATACAATGAATCTTCTTCCTCATCCTTTTTGTTTTCTTCTTTCTTCCTCTTCTTTTCTTCTATCCAAATGGGGTCGAGAAGGGTCTCTGAGGAAGGTATGAGGTAAAGAGAATGTGGTATCCTAGGATCCAGGTAAAGAAAATGTATTAGGGTAGAGGAAGTGACAAACAAGCCAAATGTTGCATGAGAGTACCGCTCAGAATTGAATAACATATCATACGAGGTAAAGATCTAATCCTTACCCAGGAAAACTGAGTGGATGGAAACTGGTATTTGTTTAAGAGGTTGGGAAGAGAGGACATGTTGCGAACATAGATAGTTCCTTTAAAAATTTTCTTACAAGAATCAGGAAGAAAACTGTGTAATTGGGCAGTATAGAAGTACACTAAAAATAATTTATTATTATTATTATTTTTTTGGAGAGACACTAACAGATTGACTTTATTTATTTTATTTTTTAAATTTCTTATTTTTATTTATATATTTATTTATTACAATTTATTCACTTTGTATCTCCACTGTAGCACCCTCCCTAGTCTCCTCCCGGTCCCACCCTCCCTCTATCTTCTCCCCCTATGCCCTTTCCCTAGTCCACTGATAGGAGAGGACCTCCTCCCCTTCCATCTGACCCCAGCCTATCAGGTTTCATTAAGGCTGGCTACATCATCTTCCTCTGCATCCTGGCAAGGCTGCACCTCCAGGGGGAAGGTGATCAAAGAGCCAGCCACTGAGTTCATGTCAGAGCTGGTGGGTCCCTGTACCCCTTACTAGGGAACCCCCTTGGAAACCAAGCAGCCTATGTGCTTCCTCTCTGCGGTGTGTGTGTGTGTGTGTGTGTGTGTGTGTGTGTGTGTGTGTGTGTGTGTGTGTAATGAATGCATGTTCATATGGAGATGGGAATGTTTAGATAAAGTGAAAACCAGTAAGCTGGAGAGTCCCTAAAAACAGGAGAACAGATGGTTTTTAGAGCATATATGGAAGTTCTGGCATTAGGCAGGAACATGGGGAGCTCAACCTCCAATCAAGCAGGAAGGAAGAGGCCAGTGGTGAATGAACAGGGGTCTCAGCTGGGCAGGTGTGGTGGGAGAGCAGGTGTCTAGATGGGCAGGTGTGGTAGGAGGGCCGGTGTGGTAGGAGGGCCGGTGTGGTAGGTCTTTATGGACAAGAGTCATGGTGTTAGGGTATAAGCTAGCCTCTAATTAATTTTCTTTTCCCAGCAAAACTGGGAACATAAAACAACAACCACAAACAATATTTGGTAGTAAGAAGAAGGGGTTGTCTGAGAACTGTAAACATCTTTCTAAGGGGGTCTTTACATTGGTATCGCTCTTGGTAATACCTTATATTTTGAGGTAAATTCTTTCTATGTTTTTAATCTACATCCACAAAGTGTGTTTATGTGGCTTCAGATCAATTTCTGTATCTTAATCATTCATATATATGTGCAGTTTCCTTAAAACATTAGCAACTTCTTTACATTAGTGCCTACTGCTTCCCAAACATATAAGTGAACATATTAAATATGTGATCATGCATGATCTTGACAATAACCTTTGCAAGGAGTTATTATTCCCTTTCGGAAGATGTGGGAAGTGATACCATGAAAGGCCACACACTTGTTGGGGCAGAGCTGGTGTTCCAATTCAGGTCTCTTTGCTTCCACATCCTCATTGAGCTGCAGATTTTGGGGCGTGGAGTGTACAGCTCTGCTGTTTGGGGGAAGGAGGGCCCCTGCAAGGTTCCCTCTGACAGTGCTGTGTGAACAGGCTTTTAACTTTCTAAGTGGAATGAGTGGTTGGCAGAAAGGAGAAGTGTGGGCTGCTCTCTCCCTGTGTTCTGTTTCCTTTATTAGCATGTAAATATTAATTATTTACTGTATTTACTGGCATGCCTGTGTTCTCCCTGTATCCACAGGTTGCAAGGAGCAGCTGCTTTCTGTGGCCAGCCTAAGCTTTTCTGAGGAAATTCCTGATGTGCTTTCAGCCTCTACTGAGATTCTCTTCTCCTGGCCTCTGGCAGCTCCTGCTGCATCCTTGTCTGTCCCGTGGGTAAGTAGGGCTTCTCTGCCATGTCTCACTTTCTGAGGTGGCTTCTCAGCAATTTCTCAGGTCTCCTATATTTCATCAGGTGTCTCTTCTGCTATCTGGATGGGTCACTGGCTGCTAAACGGACCAGTGTCTTCGGTCCCTCCGGAAGGAAGTAAAATCTGCTTGAGGCTGAGTGCAGTAATATTAGCTCACTATTTACTGCAATATTGAAACAGGGAAACTGGTTACATCTCTCTCTAGCCAATTGAACCATGCCCACAGTTTCCAGTCCCCAGTGTTTATTCTCAGCCTACTGTTTTGTTTCTTTGCTTTTGAGTATCTGCCTCAATGTGTATATACACGCTACTCTTTTTTTATATCAGCAGCAGGCTTCTGAGAACCCTGATAAACCAGCTTCCCAAACACTTGTAAGATGTCAAAGCTTCTGGACACATGTCCTTGGTGGTACATCTTGCTCACACATGTGCTCAGTGGCTCAACTTCACATGTGTGCTCAGTGGTTCATCTCCTTCACACATGTACTCAGCGGCTCATCTCCCTCCTGAAATGATTTTAATTATTTAAATTCCCTTACTTCATTTAGGCCACAAAGTAATAAATAACATATGTGATATAATGTCCCCATGGAAACTGCCTAATATTTACTGGTTTAACCCCACTGAATGATCAAGAAGAATGGCATAAATCTTTGCTTTTCAATATAGCAGATACCAGTTACTTCTAGTTATTTCAGGTTTGTAATTTGGTTAATAATTAATTCAAGTTTCCTGTTTAGTGTAAAATAGATGCTGGAACTCAAAACAAATGAAAAAAAAAAAGAGCACATAAACGCTCTCGTTAGTGATTTTTCTCTCAGTCATGTTAGAAATGACATTCATTTAGGTGTATGAACCTCACTAAAATATGGAGTGGAAAACTTAACCCATTCTTTCTGAACTTTAACCTTGCTTTCAAATGAAGTAATAGAAAACAGTTGAATT